ACAGTGAAACTCTGTTTTAAGAAGGCTGGGTGGTAGTGGTGGCGCACGTCTCTAGTCCCAGCACTTGTGAGGCAGAGGCAGGTGGGCCGCTATGAGTTCCAGCCTGGTCTACAAGAGCGTGAGACTGGCAGGAGGTAGAAGGCTAGAACATTACCAAGACCAAGGCAGCAATTTGAGAGAGAGAAAATACACAGTGCCTGCTCCAAGAAACAGCCCTGGGAACAAAGCCACCCCCTGAACGAGCATGGAATAAGCCGTCCGATAGAAGGGGCCCAGCTGAGGTTCCAGAAATGGGGCTGACATGGCCCCACAGCATCCTGAGCATCCAAAAGCAGATGCTGACTCACAGTCAAGCTGAGCTGAGCTATCAGCCCACACCTCAGTGGGGACCGCTTGTCCTGTATTACTCACAGCCCAGCCTCCCTAAAATACCTTTGAGGGGTGGTCACTGCTCACAGAAAAACTCAAATGAGGCAGACTTAGAAGGAATGGATCCCGGTCCTGCCTCTGGCCCTAAGTCAAAACTTGCACTGTCTCTTCTAGAAAGGCACCTATCTAGACACCTGCAGAGAAGGGCAGCACGAGCAATGGCATCAGTGAAAGCAGTTTAGTCAGACATGTGCAAAATACACAGCCCAGGACCACATGGGAAGGACCACTCTATTGTGTTTCTGACCACGCTCTGGACCATGGAGACATCAAGGTATATGAAAAGTAGTGACAGCAAGAGCTAACACAAGGAGGTCCACCTGAGATGTATGACAAGCAGACCCAAAGGCTGTTTTTATTGGTCAAGGTCAAGAGCAAAAATCAAAGGGAGGGAGCGAGAGAGGGAGGGAGGGAGGGAGGCAGGGAGGGAGAGAGGGAGGGAGGGAGAGAGGGAGGGAGGGAGAGAGGGAGGGAGGGAGGGAGGGAGGGAGAGAGGGAGGGAGGGAGAGAGGGAGGGAGGGAGAGAGGGAGGGAGGGAGAGAGGGAGGGAGGGAGAGAGGGAGGGAGCCAGAGAGGGAGGGAGCCAGAGAGGGAGGGAGCCAGAGAGGGAGGGAGCCAGAGAGGGAGGGAGCCAGAGAGGGAGGGAGCCAGAGAGGGAGGGAGCCAGAGAGGGAGGGAGCCAGAGAGGGAGGGAGCCAGAGAGGGAGGGAGCCAGAGAGGGAGGGAGCCAGAGAGGGAGGGAGCCAGAGAGGGAGGGAGCGAGCCATACCTAGTGATAACTGTACAGACAGACAGACAGACAGGTGGGCTGGTGGAGGTTTGTTTCTGCCTCCCTTCCAATGTTATTTCTTGCTATTGTCTGGACTGTTGTTTAGGAGGAAATAAGTCTGGTCTTTTGATAACCATCAGAAAAACTTTCTCACCACTACATAGAGTGGCTTCATGTTCTGGGGGCTCAGGCGATCAAGTTCAGGAGCTTACTCACAGTACGGAAGAGCTCTAGCGTGGAGTTACATCCCCCAGTGCATTTTAACTTTTTCTTAATTTTTGTATTTTGGGGTTTTTGGGGGAGGGGTTGTTTGGGGGTTGTTTTATTTTGTTTTATGAGGCAGAATCTCACTGTGTGGCCCTGGCTGACCTGAAACTCACTACGTAGACCATACTGGTCTGGCTCACAGATCCACCAGCCTCTGCCTCGAAAGGCCTAGGTCAAATGGTGTTCACTACCACACCCAGCTTAACAACTCAAGTGTATGAATGTTTCTGCCTGCCTGTTTGTGTGTGCACACGTGTGCCTGGTGCTTGCAGAGGACAGAAATTGGTATCGGATCTCCTAGTAGTGGGGTGCCAGGAATCAAACCCCAGTTCATCGGCAAGAACAGGCAGTGCCCTTAGCACCACCACCACCAATGGGAAAGTTTAAAATGACCTAACAATGATTTGCTTCGTGTGCCTAGAAAAGTTTAAATTTCTCATTCATCTTCATCTATAAAACAAATCTCAAAGAGTGCCACAGAGTGCAGTGTCAGTACACTGTGTAATCCTAGCACTTCAGAGGCAGAGGCACGGAAGATCACCAGCCTGAAATACAGTGAGTTAGTCCAATGCCAGCCCAAACTACAAGGAAAGACCCTTTCTCAAAAAAATAAAATATACAGTGTAATACCTGGAGCTGCAGCCACTATTTTTGCCTCTACAACCAAAATAATAATTTAGTGTGAGATAAAATATTTGTACTCTGGACAGCCATGACATTGAGACAAGGGGAGTCCTATAGGAAAAGGCCTCTTATACCGCCAACAGTGGTCTTTTTTTTCTTCAGGAGAGACTACAAAGTGAGACTGGGATCTATATATAGTGTAGGGCTTCGAGGTACCGCCATTAGCTGAGGGTTAATTAAGTAGCTGTAAGCCCCAATGTTCCTTTCCAGCTTTCTTCACATGTCCCCTGCCTGACGTGACAGTGTGGAGCTGTGCTATAGCTCCGTGTCTCAGATCTTAAAGAAGCCAGCCAGCAGCAGGGACTGGGTACCGATGCTCTAGTCCCAGCTCTGCCACTAACTATGTGATCCGCATACATTATTAGCTCAGCTCATGTCTCTCTTCTACACGTGAAGACAATGCACAGGCAAGCTCCTGGGTTCCAACACCACCACCCCAACACATAAATTTTAAAATAGGTAATTAGATTGGTGGCCCCTGGAGGGTCTGAGGTCCCTTGTAAATTGTCATTTACCTCAACCCCTTTGTCTTTTTCCAATTTCCTTTCACCAGAACACAGGTTAAGTTGCCCAGGCTGGCCTCATACTCCATCCAGTACCACATGCGGCTGGACTTTTTTTTTTGGGGGGGGGCTACATAACACAGGTTTTGTTATGAATAAGTAATTTTGTTTTGTTGTTTTTGTTTTTCAAGACAGGGTTTCTCTGTGGCTTTGGAGCCTGTTCTGGAACTCTCTCTGTAGACCAAGCTGGCCTCTAACTCAGATCTGCCTGCCTCTGCCTCCCAGGGTTGGGATTAAAGGTGTGAGTCACCAACGCCCGGCGAAGCTGCACACAGCCTGTCGTGGTGGCCCGTGCCTTTAAGCCCACTACTGAAGAGACAGAGGCAGGTGGATCTGCCAGAGTGAGGCCAACCTAGTCTATCTACACAGAGTTCCAAGCAGGCCAGAGACTATGCCTTAAAATACACACAGAGTTCTTTAACCATCACAAGTCATCACATGCCCAAGATGTACATTTTGAAAACTGCACCAAGGGACCCTTCTCTCTGTTGGGAGTTCCCTCTTCTTCCTTGCTGAGAAAGAAGGTCAGCAGAGAGCTGGCTACTCCACAGTGGCTAACTGCCCCTCCCATTCCAGCTGTCTAGGAACCCTTAGAAACTCATCCTTCACATCAACTTTTCAGTGTGTCCCTTTTCGGCCTCTGTGGTGACTGAACTCTTTAGGTGATGACCAAGGTCATTGTTTCTAAATGTTCCATTCTTCTCCACGCTCATCCTCTTCCCCACTAAGAGGACTTTAGGCTAACATGCTACCCCCAACTTCACTCCAAGCATCACTCTGGGAATACGGCCCCTTTACAGCAAGAACACTGGGAGACGGGCAATTCCAAAAAGGAGTCCTGATAGGATCGGCATCCTGGTTTTGTCTAGCATTCCTAGACACACTAGTGAAGAACATTTTTTTTTTTTTTTTTTTTGGTTTTTCGAGACAGGGTTCCTCTGTGGCTTTGGAGGCTGTCCTCGAACTCAGAGATCCGCCTGCCTCTGCCCTCCCCCCCAGTTCTGGGATTAAAGGCGTGAGCCACCAGGGCCTGGCTACGAAGAACATATTTTTAAACTTAACATATTATAAGGCAAAGGGGCAAATAACCTAAGTTCTGAGACCTAAACAGCATTGCAGAGTGCTAGCCATGGAAGCTAAAGGCGAGGCGAACTTAATACTGGAGTTCTACAGCACACAACGCTGAGTCTGGGCTGCTGGCCTAAAGTACTCCAGACCTGGAGGGAAAATACGAAAAAATCAAAATGGAGGAGGGGCCAAGGAGAAATGGGCTGGAAGCAAAAAACCGCGTGGCGCGTGGCGCGCGTCTCATGGCGCCTTCCGCGCTCCCCAGGCTCGGGACTCACCATCCCGCCTCACCAGCGGCCGCACGCGGCGCCCAGCTCCCTCAGGAGCCCCTCGTGGAGCCCAGTGCCCACTGAACCTGAAGGCTGTTAAACGGCAGGCGAGCAAGCGGCCACATCTGAAAAGGCAGCGGTGGGGGGGGGGGTGTAAAAGAAAGAACCATCTGGGAGAGCTCCACCCTTCTCCACCTGCAGAAGAGACCCAGGTTAAGCCAAGACTGACTGTCACTGCAGGGGGGAAAAAAAGGAAGGAGGTTTCTCGGAAAGTCAGACTCGGAAGCCCCTTCCCTGCGACCCAAGGGGAAAGAGACCGGGACGCCGAAGAGCACGAAACCAGAACAACTTTCTCACTGAGCCCGATCCCGTTTTTCTCTTCCAACCGTAAAAGACAGCAACCCCTACTGTCATCCCATCCGCGACAGCGCCCACAGGGCTTTGCCTCTCTCCCGGAAAGCCCAGCAACCCCCAGGTGGGCTCCCGGCAGCCGGCGCGCCACCTCGCGCATCCCCGCCACCCTCGCAGCCCCACGGGCTTTGACGGCCGGGCCAAGGCCAGGCCTGGGCGGAGGAGAGCACAGGGGCTCGTGGGGGAGCCCCGAAAGCCTCGCTCCCATCCCCGACTTGCAAAACAATAAGCATCCGCTTTCTGCCCCTCCCCCACAGGACCCTGACCACGAGTCCCAGCCGCCGCCGGGAACCGGCGAGGGAGCGCACCATCCCCGCGGGGAGAGGGGACCCACACCCGGGGCCCTCAGTCGTCCCAGCACCCCGCCGGTCCCCAACGCCGTGCCCCGAGCCTGCGCGGGGCTGGCAGCGCCGGAGCGCGGCGTCCGGGAGCGAGGATCGCGCGGGCCACGCGGTGGCAGGCGGCAACCGCCACGGCCCGCGGGCGCCGGCCACCCACATGTAGCGCCCGCCGAGCGGGTAGGGCGCGCGGAACCCTTACCTTGCCGCTGGCCGTGCCCCCGCTCACGCCGATCAGGAAGGGCTCGCCGCCGTTGGGCTGCTGGTGGTTCTGCAGGGTCTGCTCGCTGTCCCCGGCCATGACTCGCGCCGCCCCTCCTCTCGCAGCCTGAGCGAAGCGACGCACGCTCCCCGCCCGCGACAGGGCTCGCTCAGCGTCTCACAGCCGCCGCTGGTCGCCGCCGCCGAGGTCGAGGCTGGGCCGGCCGCGGCTTGGGCCGGGGAGGGGTTGGGGAGGGGTGGCCGAGGTGGCTTTCCCGGAGGTGCCGAGAGCTCTCCGGTGCCCGTGGCGGCCCTTGGGGTTTACATCCCAGGCAGAGGTCAGCGTGATGAGGCTGCTCCAATCCGGGCCGGCTGCGCGCTGCTATTCGCCAGGAGTCTTGGCCCCAGCCTCCGCCCCGCCCGGGCCTCGCCGCCGCCCGAGGTCTCTGGGAAAGGTGTGAGCGCCACTCCCCTCCCCACCCGCCTGGTTAACCCTTTCCCGGGCGGAGCCGAGGAGAAGAAACAGGCTCGGTCAGCGATTTAATGCGCCAGTCTGCCTCCTGTTTCAAGAGAGAGCAAAAAAGCGAGAAGAGGCTGCTGAGCGGATCCGAGAATGGAGGAAGTGCCTCAGGTTTGAGACGCAAAACTGGAAAAGGCCGGGAAGATGAAGATGGAGATGGAGCACAGTTAATGCCTGGACCCTTGATCCGCAGGAAAACTTGTGTTTTCAGAGACACCCCCCACCTCCCGCCTCCTATATGCCAAAATAGTGTGTCAGCCGCTTAGAGTTTTCCTGTCTTGGAAAACCCCGAGTGCCATTTTCTTTAGCAGGTCTAGCCTTATGTGACTCCCTAAAAGAAGGGTGACTCAAAGACGGTTCGCCCTCCCTGGAAAATCGGTGCCCTTCCCACACCACAGCATCCTAGACTGACATCCCTTGTGAAGCTAGGTTAATGAAAATAGAAACATAACAATGTCATTTCGATCCATTGATGACCTAGTTTATTAGAGGTAGGTCATTTGTCACTTGGTTAGGAATGCAGGATCAAATAAAGACTTAGGAGGAGTCCTCATCTCCGGAGCCAGATTTCTTCATGCACATCAAGGTCCATGAGCAAGTGAGCCGTGCCTCAGTGTTCCCATCTACTAAATGGGAATAGTAATAGTGCTCACACGCTAGGATTTTTGTTGGGCATAAATGAACATCACTTTTGAGCCTGTATTGGGGCTTGAAAAAACTACTAAAGGACTGAGCCAGAAAGGACAGCTTTGCTGGGCACACCTGAAAGGTGGAACTAGAAACTATGCATCTCTGAATTCCTTGTCAGTGAACTGATGGGGCCCTAAAAAGGAGCTTGAGATGCTGGAGAGATGACTCAGCAGTTAAAAAGCAGTGGCTGATCGTGCAGAGGTCCCGGGGTACAATTCCCAGCTCAGGACTGTAATTCCAGCTTTAGAGGTTCTGATGCCCTCTTCTGTCCCCTGTCCAGGCACACATGGTACACAGACAAACATGCAGGTAAAACGCTTTTGCATAAAACAATGTCTAAGTTTTTAAAGGTAAAAATTTAGAAGAGCTTAAGTTTATCGAATTCTCTTGAAAATATTAGTTTTGAAAACATCAAAGGGTATCAAGCACAGTCAGTCAGGCAAGGTGGCCACACCTTTGTTCATGACTTCAAAAACAAAGTTCCTTTTTTCTTTTTCTCCTGAGAAAAGGATTTCTCTGTGTAGCTCTGGCTGTCCTGGAACTAGCTCTGTAGACTAGGCTGGCTTCAAGACATGCTCCTGCCTCTGCCTCCTGAGTGCTGGGATTAAAGTCATGCCGCCGTCACTGCCTGGCTAGAAACTTCCAATTCTTGTTTTTTAAAGATTTATTAGGTATACAGTGTTCTGCCTGCACACCAGAAGAGGACACAAGATCTCATGACAGATGGTTGTGAGCCACCATGTGGTTGCTGAGAATTGAACTCAAGTCCTCTGGAAAAGTAGGCAGTGCTCTTAACCTCTGAGCCATCTCTCCAGCCCAAAACTTCTAATTTTTTTTTTTTTGGTTTTTCAAGACCAGGTTTCTTTGTATTGTCTTGGAGCCTGTCCTGGAACTCACAGGCTGTCCTCAAACTCAGAGATCTGCCTGCCTCTGCCTCCTGAGTGCTGGGATTAAATTGTGAGCCACCAACACCTGGCTAAAACTTCCAATTCTTTTTTTTTTTTTCCCAAGACAGAGTTTCTCGGTATTGTTTTGGAGGCTGTCCTGGAACTTGCTCTGGAGACCAGGGTGGCCTTGAACTCACAGAGATCCACCTGCCTCTCCAGTGCTGGGATTAAAGGTGTGTGCCACCAAGGCCCTGCAAAACTTCCAATTCTTAAGTGGAAAGACACTAAGGATTTAGGAAGGGTGATGATGGTCTACACCTTTAATCCTAACACTCAGGAGGCAGAAGCAGGTGGATCTCTCAGTTTGAGGCCAACCTAGTCTGCAGTGCAAGTTCCGGGATGGCCAGAGCTACAAAGAGAAACCTGTCACAAAAACAAAAAAACCACACTTTTTGTTTTGTGGACATTTTGTTATTTTGAGATAGGATCTTTTGTTTTTTGAGAAAGGGTTTCTCTGTGTAGTCCTGGCCATCCTGAAATCTACTCTGTAGACCAGGCTGGCCTCAGACTTGAGACATCCTCCTGCCTCTGCCTCCTAAAGACCTGCGCCATCACCACCCAGCTTGAGAGTAGAATCTATGTAACCCAGGCTGACCCTGTACTCCCTACTTAGCTGAAGATGACCTTCCTGATATCCAGTCTCCACCTCCCACATGGTGGGATCATAGGCATCCACCACGTCCAGCTTACAAACATCTTTTCTCTTTCCTCTGTCATCAACACCAAACTCTGAAGTGAGGAAACCAAGGTGAGAGCGGCTGCCTGGTGTCCGTGGGCAGCATGTGGGAGGGGCTGGCTAGACCTCAGCCCATCAAACTGCCAAGGCAGTGTAGGTGGATTGTCTTCTCCCAAACGTCTATTCAGGGGAACTATCAGGATTTGCGGGACTCTCTGTGTAGCCTGGTGTGAGCCTGTTGGTGTTGGAGTCTAATGAGTCCACACATTATTAGCATGAGGATAGCAGGGAACTAACTTAGAAGAGAAAGATAAAAGGTCACACTTTTCCAAAATCTCCACTTCTTGCTTTTCCATATCTTTTTTTTGTTTTGTTTTGTTTTGGGTTTTGGTTTTTCGAGACAGGGTTTCTCTGTGGCTTTGGAGGCTGCCCTGGAACTAGCTCTTGTAGACCAGGCTGGCCTCGGACTCACAGAGATCCTCCTGCCTCTGCCTCCCGAGTGCTGGGATTAAAGGCGTGTGCCACCAGCGCCAGTTGCTTGTCTATATCTTAACACAATATTTTTCAAATGTATTTGAAACATCTTAAACAACATGCCTAAACTGGATGTAGGCACAAACACCTTTAATCTCAGCACTTGGTAGAGTGCTGAGACAGAGGCAAGCAGATCTGTGAATTGGAGGCCAGCCTGCTCTACATAGTGAGCTCCCGGACAGCCAAGGCTACATAGAGACTCCTCTGTCTCAAAAACAAACCACCACCAAAAAACAAAAGCACTACAACAAAGCCCACAATATACCTACTACCTGGTATCCATCCACCACTGATGTCATACTAACCCTGTTATATCACGTGACTAGCCATGTGCCCATCATTCTACCCATGAAGACACTTGTCTGAGGACCTATTTTGTTTGTTTTAGTTAACCTACTCTGAACTAACATTTCTTGCCTTTTTTCTCTTCTAATTACTACATCCCAACACCTAGAACAGTGCTTGGCTATAGGGCTTCAGTGAATGTTCCTTGGATGGATGAAGGAGACATCTCATTTCTGAATACCTAAGGTCCCCTGAGGAGAATGACGAGCAAGTAGGATGCATTTGATGTATGATTGTTGAATGAACAAATGAGGATAAGTTAAAAAGGTACCAGCAAGGGGCTGGAGGACCTGGCTTCAATTCCCAGCACCCACATGACTGCTCATGACTGTAATTCCAGTTCCAGGGGACCAGACACCCATGACAAAACACCAATGCACAAAAATTCTTTTTTTTTTTAAAGACAGAGTTTCTCTGTGTAACAATCCTACAGTCCTAACTGTCCTGAAACTCACTTTGTTTGTATACCAGGCTGACTTCGAACTCACTGAGATCCACCCACCTCTGCCGGAATTAAAGGAATTGACCAACATACTCTGCTACTAACTTTATTTCTGAAATCACACACACACACACACACACACACAAACCCGTTACATTGTCTCCACCAAAATTTCGAACTGATACTCGATTGCCTATGTAACAGTATAAAAAGTTCTTGGGACCTTTTAAGAGGGATAGATAGAGGAGCTCCACTCTCTTATATTTTGGTTGTGAGCCTAGCCTTTAACGGCTGAGCCATCTCTCCAGCCCGAGGAGCTCCACTCTCAAGGGGGATGGATGGAGCTCTCCCAAGGTAAGTCAGTTATCGGCAGTGTGGTCCTTGGCTCTCTGTTGCTTCCTCTCACAGATTTCCCCTAGGCAGCATCTGCAAACCCCTCCCCACACCCTGACCATGCTTTGTCATCTTCCCTATTGTGATGAAACATAAGATCAGTCCCTCACCAGAAGCCATCCATGTTGTGATGAAGGGTAAAATCAGTCCCTCATAGATCCTGGGGCTGTTCTTGAAGACTTCCTTACTCTCCAAAGCCTTCTTTAGAATTGCACAGGAACTTTCTACAGCTAGTCCTAGTGGTGCCTGCTACCCAGCTGAGTTAACACATTTCTTTGAAACTTGCTCAACACTAATTTTAATAATATTTGACCTCTGTATGGGAGTAAATATCCACAGAAACACTCTGGAAATGTTGGATGCTTTCTATATAAAGATAAGGCCTGTTTAGCAGAGGAGGCCAGCTGCACAACACTTTTTTTTCACTTTCCCTTCAACATCCTTAGGGAGGGATAGCTTGCCTACACAGAAGAAGTTGCCCTCTGCTTTAAAGTATTTAGAGTGCTCTCAGGATGGTGACCTCAACAAGGACTTAAGCGTCTTGCTCTCTACAGAGCAAAGCAGGCTGCCTCTGCTGCTCCCTGTGCTGTGTCATCCTCTCTTGAGAGCCAGTCACAAATCCCATAGCCAGGGATGCTCACGTCGCATTCGAGCCTACTCTGCAATTACACTGCAGATCCAAATTAAGTGATTTCAGTCTGGTCCTCTGCCTCTCTTATCAAAGAAATACACACACACACACACACACACACACACACACACACACACTTTGTGTGTGTGTATACATAGATTTATTAAAAATTCCAACAGACTCAAGAAAGTGTGTTTTGTTATCTGTGATCATTCTTTTTCCTTTATACAGATTCAGCCTGCTCAAGTCCTGGCCCGGTTCAGGGCTGGGAATGAAGTCAGCATGAGAATGCAGCTACAGCTGTAGCCAAAGAGCAAGGAGACATTGTCGTTGACA